CAGAGCCTCTAATATCAATTGAACGATCATCTATTTTATGAAGGTGCGGAATAAATTTTTTTTCTCCATCTAAGGCTTTCAAGATCAAGCTATTGAATCAACTGATTATACATATATGAATTAAAAGCATTAGTAAAAAATTACCTCTTGTACTACGGATTTAGCCTTTATAGAAAAATAGTCGTCCAAGTATCCAGACCTTTATCGATAATCCACACACCCTAAACTCCTCCAAAAGAAGCCATAGAATTCATAAAGTGCTAGTTTTAATTCTTCTATATAGTTTATCTTTCTTTTAGAAATAAAAATAGGGTTTTTGCACCAACTATTGGGCTTTTGGGAAGAGGTGCAACAATCGAGTTTTTTGGGAGAAAGCATTTTTCTCTTTATTTTTCTTTTCTTACCATGTATTCTCTAGCTTAGCCTTCCCCTTGATTTTTCCTTTTTGCTTTATTTATAAAGAAGGGTGGTGGCAACATCTCCTAATAGGTTTACGAGGTGTTGCCTATGTGAGCTTATTTGATATTATCCTTATAAAGCTTGATCCTTACCCAATAAGGCTCATGTTTATCCTTTCATCAAAATATCTAACGGACTTTTAAATTAAGCCTATTGGCTCAAATTCTTTTGGCCCAATTAATTATCAATTATTTTGAACTATATAAATAAATTGGATTAGATATTTTTTTTATGAAGCCCACATTAGAAAATAATTTTTTAAATTACCTTTAAACCTAAATTAAGAAATTAATTTTGTTTTTAGGTAACTTGCTTCTAAATTTGGAACTGACTTCCAAATTAGAAAACTTATTTCTAAAATAGAAAAATTTCTATTTTAGGAATTGTTTTTCCAAAATAGAAAACTTTTCATTTTTGAAATTTTTTTCCAAAATAGAAAACTTTCAAAACTCGAAAACCTTTTTGAAAATCTTTGCTTCTCTTTTGTTATGTGAATGCTTAAACTTATACGTGTGACTTAATAAGCTCCTAGATATGTTAGCAATGTATTAAGAATAAAAGACACCTCTTTTATGTCTCGATACATTAATCAAGATTGACCTCTAGTAAGGCATCATGACTACCTAATTCTCTAGAAAGATTAATTAATCTACAATTACCTTTCACGAGTATGGTTACCATACAATTCAATTCTTATATCAATTTATCATAGTGTGATCTTGAACTTGGTTTTTAGTCAGTTCGATTATGATCACAAAAGTTTTTTTCGATTCCTAAATGTCTTAGCTCTAGAATAAACCAACTATACTCTATTAATGTACTTTTATTGTGGTCATAGATTACTTGAATATACATTTATCGAAGTGTAATATGATAACTCCTTTAGCATACAAGGAATGACATATCCTATTTTAGTCATCTACCTATCTCCATTAGATTTCTAATGTATCCAAGAACTATCCATATGTAGCTCTTGATCGAGCCCATCGAAACGAGTGTCAAGGTACATAAATCCTCTAATGAGATAGTCGTGATGACTTGAAGTCAAAAGACCAGTTATACCCATCTTATATGAGATTCCTATAGACTAAATCAAATGAGTTCTCATGGTGAGTGAAGTTTAGTGATATATTCTCTAACATTAATCACCTAGGTGCTTGCTTTGACATCATCGTGCCAATAGGTGTGAGATCTTTTACTCGCTATTTTATATCATAAGTATAACACTTATAAGTCTTACCGCATTAGTCAAAGTCTATTTTTTACAATGTTACGACTTATGACATTTAATGATGTCATTTTAGTGCATCAATTTCTATCTCACATCTTTCAATCAATCATTAATATAATGCATATCATATGGACTTCTATCTAATTTTATCAAAATATAAACAATAAGAATTAATAGAAAGAATTCTTTTATTACTAAAATAAAAAATACAATATTATAATAAGTTAAACCATCCACTCAAGGTTGGATCTTGAGCACCTACACTAGCGAGATGAAATAAATGATTAAATCTAGAAAGATTCCTAATGGTTCCGAAAAGAAAATGAGTAATGGTAACAAGAGGATAGACAATGAGATATACTAGGATGAGACCGGATCTTATCCATCCATGAATTGAGAGAGTAATCGAGAAATACACGGCAACCAAGATAGTTTCGAGTAACCTCCAAAGACCCTCATTCACCTCCTATACCTTAATTCTAACAACCACCATGAACCAAACATACCCATCAAATCAATTGAATCCATTCTATATGCCTTAACAAAACTACAAAGCAAATTAATTCCCTCAAGCTCGCTATGTATTTTCAAAATCCACCAAGTCTTAAAAACCCACAAATATCATACAACCATTACCATCGGAATAACCAAGACTATAAAAAAGCGCTTGAATAACTATAACTCTTATCTTTCTCATTGGGTGAAATGTTTAAGTATCCGTTAAGCATTGAACATGTCACTCCAATCCCTATTAACTCGATGCACTCTCCATATCCTCCATGGTACAAGTAAGATGAGAGATGTGAATATCATTTTTGTGCTTGTTGTGTATAACATCAATGGTTATCCTACTTTTAAGGAAAAGCTTTTAAATTTAATCAAGGAAGTTTGGATTAGTTTCGATAGTGGTCTACAGTATTCCAATGTAAACACGAATCTAATCCTAAACCACACGGTTGCCAATACAAGAGATGAGGAGACCGAAAGTTATGGAGGAGATGTATGTTTACAAATTTCAAGTTTAGTTTTTTAATTATTATCAATTTTTGAACACTATTTTCCTAAATGATTTGGCTATGCATGAATTAAATGGTATCTTTGAATATAAGAATGCTTACATCCTTTGGTACAGTTTCATATTGTTTGATTTGAAATTAAGAGATTTTCATTTCAAAGTATTATTTGACGTTACGAAAAAATATAATGGCAAACTCATTCAAAAAAAATTTGAAAGATTGATCAAATGTTTGGTAGTTTTATTTGGCTAGTTTATTCAGTAATTGGATGTGTCCAATGTCTTTCTCCATTGTAGCCTTGAAAAGGCTATTTACATGGAGCAACCTTTAGGCTTTCATGATAAGTCCAAAATAGGGTATCTTTGCAAGCTTTGAAAATCCATTTATGACTTAAAGCAAGCTCCACATATATGGCTTCAATGCCTCACCGATTCTCTCACTACACTTGGTTTTTAAGATTCCAAAACCGATTGCTCTCTCTACATTTGTAGGTCCGGTCTCATTAAGATATACTATCTTATTTATATTGATGATCTCATCCTCATAGGAAATGATCCTACTCTCTTGGCTACCATTATTAATAAACTCCAAACTAATTTTGCTTTGAAAGATCTTAGGCCACTTCATTACTTTTCGAGCATAAGGGTATATTGGACATCAATAGGGATATTTCTCTATCAACATAAATATGTGAAAGATCTACTAGCTCGTAGTAAAATGGACCAATCCAATTCAGTTTCTACACCATCTTGTTTGCTACTAAGTTATAGGCTATAGGATCCAAATTTTCGAACCCTCATTTATACAAAAGCATTGTGGTGCCCTTCATTACCTCTCGTGTCACAAGTTTAGATATAACATTCGAGTGTCAATCGGGTTTCTCAGTGCACGCATACTCTAATGAATGATCATTGGAAGGTCATTAAACATATTCAACATACATCCACTTATGGTCATATGTTCCATAGAAATCCTTCTTATCATATTTTAGCTTATGTGATGCTGAATGGGGTGGTTGTCATAATGAAAAAAAATCAACTATCGGCTATTTATGCTAGCTCCAATTTAGTCTCTTGGTGCTCCCAAAAACAAAGGATGGTAGCAAGCATCTACAAAGGTTGAATATAGAGCCCCTACTACAACCTCATCTGAAATTCTACATCATTTGAAATTCTACGGAATTGTTCATTAATTCGAGCATTGGGGTTTACATTATCACATGCTCCCCAGTTTTATGATGTGCTAATATCAATGCAACCTATCTCACGGCTAATGATATTTTTCACTCCCGTTCCAAACACTTAGAAATTGATTTTCATTTTGTCACCGATAAGGTGGCTGTTGAGGAATTTTTAGGTTTCATATATCTCTATTAATGATCAAATTGCAGCCATCTTAACCAAACCGATGTCAAACAAAAGTTTCAACAAGTTACCAGTCCGTACATCTACAGTTAAGCTGAGGAGGAGTGATAAGGATACTCTTATTTAAACTTGAATTCAAATGTAGATAGATAACTCTTAGAACTCTATTTGTACAGCTCAAATATTTATAAATTCCTATATTTTCTCTTGTATTCAGCTGCAAAAAATATATTAAATCATTAACTCTTTCATCTTCGAGGCACAAATTTCCAGTACCTCCTGCTAAAGTGCTAACGAGTGTAGAGCTATGTTTAAAAGCGTAGTTGTATATTTTGAAAGATTACAAAACTTTCAGGCCATCCACCCATTGGTTCCGATGATGGCCTTACTATTGCATTGTTTGTAGTTCGTAAGCGCAATTGCTGAACAAGATTAGCTCATTGTTCTTCTTTTGGGTTCTTTGTTTTCTTATATGATCTTGGATTGCTGAAGTTTGCAAGTTGTCCATTATATGATTGAATTACTAGACTAGCTTGCAAGATTGGTCCTCTTGTGGCTCTCGGGCTCTCCTTTTCTAGAAAGATCTCGGGCTTGAGCTCTCCATTGTAACAAACAAATAAATAAACATATTTTGTGGTCAATTATTGATTGATTGAATAGAATTTGCGGGCATTATCATAATGCATGACTCCTCTTTTGTATATTTAATAATTTACCACCATACACAATGTATAAATTATGTCATTTGACTTCAATGCATGATTCTTTCACTGCAAGCAAACAAAGGGAAAACCTTTTCCCTTTTTTATTTCAAGGCATTGAATTTGTCATAAAAAACAAATAGCTTTTTAGTCCATGTAGTAGCGTCAGAGAGGGTTATAACCCTTTTCATTTTGTTGATTTCCTATTATGATTATGAGAAAAAGAGAGATGGCCGGCCATGAGAGTGAGAAATTGTCTGAAGCACATCCAATGAATAGTGATCAGTTATAATTGTAAAATTCCCAATTACAACTTCATATTTTCTATTAACAGGTTGCCCTGTGAACTATGAGTTAATTCTTGTTCAAGAGGAACAAAATGGTTTTGGAGACAAAACCTAGACAATAAATTATTCTATAATTCATATTTTAATCTCACTATGCTAATCTTTTAAGAGATATTTGGTTACTGATAATTTTTCATTTTCCTGTGCAACACTAATGCAAAATTTCCTTGTGTTCCTCAGTAAATGTGGGGTAATTTTCAATTATTAGCAGGGAAAAAAAGTCTTATATTATCCAGTTACTAATATAGGTAAAAGGAACTGCCTACTCTTTTACCAAGAAATTGGATTTACTTTCAAAGAAATATGTTGTTCGGCTGTTCTTATGTGAGAATTGGATGGCAACTGAAAGTGAAAATATTCCACTACTAATTGCTATATATAAGCTTATGACATTTATTATGAACCCCGACCCTACAAACATCAACTGCTTTTTTCTACATAGGATGAGCATAAGTTTTTTTGCGAGCAATTATAGTTGGCAATGCATCTCTTCTAGTTAAGAATCCACAGTGGAGTTAATATACGATTTTGTCATAGCAGTTTGACAAAGGTGAAGATATAATTACTATTTGTTTGCAGTGAATTTGTTGCCTTACTCAAAGTACTCAGATGTTTGTGTACAGATGACAGATTTACACGTTTTGTTTTTGCAGAGAGGAGTTATTGACAACTCCAAGGAACTTATCAAGGAGGCAATCAAAGAAAAGCTTACGATTGAAAGACTTTTCTTCCTTGAAATCATTTCGAGTTGCAGATTTAGGTTGTTCAGTTGGAATAAACACATTTTTTGCAGTGCGAAACATAATTGAAGCTGTGGAGTTGAAGTGTCAATCCCAGCAGGGACTCGATTTCCATCGTCTCGAATATCAAGTTTTCTTCAATGATCACAGCTCAAATGATTTCAACACCCTTTTCATGTCTCTCCCTCGTGACAGGCGATACTATGCTCTGGGTGTGCCTGGTTCTTTCTATCAACGGTTATTTCCCGTTGTCAGTTTGCACTTAATCCATTCTTCCTATGCTTTACATTGGCTTTCCAAAGTACCAAAAGAGGCAATTGATAGAAGCTCCCTTGCCTGGAATAAGGGAAGGATCCATTACACAAATGGTCCAGCTGCAGTTGTTAATGCTTATACTGCTCAATATGCTAATGACATGGAGAACTTCTTGCATTCTAGAGCACAAGAAATTATAGGTGGAGGTTTGATGTTACTAACTATTCCATGCCGCCCTAATGGAATCCCTCATTCCCGAACTTTACCAAGTAAAGCCTATGACCTCTTGACATCTTGTCTCATGGACTTGGCCAAGAAGGTAAGACATAGGTAGCTGGAATAAATCCATTGTTGATCATTCATATACAGTTCATTTCATCACTATAAATTAATAACAGATAAATGTGAATCCATCCTTAAATATTATTAATTCCACAAACTCAATTCAGCATAGATAGTAATATTTTTATCTAATTATATTATTTTTCATTTTCATGCAGGGATTGACCAGTGAAGAAAAAGTGGATTCGTTCAATATACCTATTTATAACGCGTCTCCTCAAGAACTGGAAGTAGCTATATCAAAAAATGGATGTTTCAGCATAGAGGGAATAGAAAATCTGCCTCGTGTTCAAAGACAAGAGCATGACTCTGTATCTAAATCCCCGCTATTTACATCTCACGTTCGAGCTGCAATGGGGGCACTATTTGCTGATCATTTTGGACATGAGATCTTAGATGAACTCTTCCAACTCTATCAGGAAAAACTTGAAGAGTCTTCAATATTTGAGTTGGGATCCTCGACGAATGCAATTAATCTATTTCTTCTAGTCAAACGAAAAACAACTTGTTAGGTGATGTCTTTTTCTCTAGTGCTGCAGAATAAAATGCAAACCACTTCTTTCGGAGGTTTGCAGAACCTTTTTCTAATAAATTGATCAATAAAGCTATCGAAGCAGTTGCTAAAAATATATGTTTGCGCATTAGCCTATCTTGAGTGTGTATTGTTAATGGGAAATATTGAAGTCTTAAATGGAACATTGAAGTATTAAGTGCCGTTATGTAATGGAATGTTGATATATATAAGGAGTTACATAAGATTTGGTTTAATGACATTAAAGATCGTGTTTAGATTTCTTACGGACACAACTTTTAGATGTTGTTTGGCAACAAAAAATAAAATAAAGAAAACTAAAAAATGAAAGTTTTATTTTTATTTTATAGGTATTTGATTGAAATGAATGGAGTGAGAATGAAAATTAAATATCGTTTTATTTGTATTGCATTGAGAGGTGAGAATACAAACAAGAAATAAAAATGATTTTTTTTCTTTCAAAATAATATTATTTTTATTTATTGTATATCAACTATTTTTGCTACTATCATCATTGCCACCATTGATACCACCATCACCATCATTGAAGATGGTGATAAAAAAAATTAAAAAAATTATTATTATTCAGCCATCACTTTTCCTCCACTATATGAGTATTGCTTCTTCTTCTTCTTCTTCTTCTTTTTTTTTTTTCCTACTATCACTTCTTATAGTGGTACCATTGAATTTTTAAAAATATATTATTGATATTACTATATTATTATTATCACCACCACCACCTCTTTCTCCTCCTCCTCCTCCACCACCACTCTTAGGATCGTTTGTATTGACTAGGATTGTTAGTATTGCTCAATCTTCTTTCCTCTTCAAACCTTTTATATTTATCATGTATTGTTACATGTACTTATCATCATATGTATTGTTCTTATAAATACATGTACATTAACAAGATCAATATAAAAGAAAGCTTTAATCTTCACATGGTATCAAGGCTTTTTTTTTTTTTAATGTCTTCTTCCTCACAACTTGTGGCCGGCCAACTTGTTGTTTCCACAACAAACATTACTCCTTCGCTACACCCACAACTCATCACACCTTTTCCATCAAGCTCACTACTCATGATTTTCTTATCCGGAAAACTCAGCTTTTACAATTACTGAATTATCATAAACTTATTAGTTTCATTGATGGCACATCCACCTCATTATCATGCATAATTACATCCCTCACTACTCCCTCCACACCTATTCCAAATCCAGATTTTGAACCATGGTTTCAAAAGGATCAACTATTACTTTGTTGGCTTTTTTCTTCTTTGTTAGAGGATGTTTTTTCTTATGTTGGTTTGCAATCTTCTTGCTTTGTATGGAAGGCACTAGAAAGTGCATTCGGTTATGTATCCTAGAACCGTCAATTGCAGCTCAATATAAAACTTTAAGACTTGAAAAAACATGGCATGTCTATCTTTGAATATTTACTAAAAGCAAAAAGCTTGCTAATAAACTCTCTGTAGCTAGTTGCTTCATCTCTACTCGCTGAGTTTAATGCAATTATCCATCCTAGTATTGGGTCCGAATATCATCCCATTATATTACTACCTTAAATTTACGACCGGATCTCGTCTTTATTTTTTTCCATAACTTCATCACCATATGCTTGCCCCCGAAATCTTTATCAAAAGAATGAATGCCTATCTAGCAACCAATGTGGCCTTTAAACACCTTTATCATGCCCACTTTCACCTTTTTCTTTGTTGGACAACATTTTAACTATTCCTAGGTTTGACCTCAAGGCCAATACAAGTGCAATAGTGGTCCTTGTTAGATTTATGGATTACTATAGATAGGTGCGGCGCCGTTATACACCACACTAATCTTCCTTCATGCCACCACAAGCTAATGTTGCTTGGCATGATTCGGCTATGCCGATCCACCCTCATTCGATGCCACTATCTCCTTTGCCTCTTACATACTTATCAATTCATTCTTCTCTTTCCCTTGTAAGATGGTACCCTAATACGAGTGCTATGTATCATATGACTCGCATTACTCTACTCTCTCTAATGTCATAGCCTACAAAACTCCGCATCGGATCATTGTTAGTAATGCCCAAGGTTTGCCTATTTCTCATGTTGGTATTGCCTCCTATCCTTCATTTTCTCCCAATATAAATGTTATGTTTCAAAACGTTTATCGTGTTCCTACTCTTAATAAATCTCTTGTGTCTTTCTAAAAATTCACCACTTATAATAATTGTTTTTTTTTCTAATTTTGGCCATCTCATTTTCCGGTCAAGCATCAAGTGAGCAAGACAACCATATTGCACATAAAGAGTGAGAATGGACTCTATCTATTATCATCACCATACAAGTAGACATTCCTAGGATAAAATGTTCCCTTGACAACTTAGCATTCTCATTTTGTTCATCCCCAACCTCATATTGTCTCTAAAATAATCAAAGATAATCATTTATATTGTTTTACTTCATTCATGTCTTCTAGTAGTTGTTATGCATATCAATTAAGAAAGTTAGCTCATTTTCTTATAGCTTCTATTGAATACATAAGTGTTAAACCATTTGATTTCATTCATTCGGATGTTTAGGAGCCTACTTCTATGCTCTCTAATTTAGGTTATCATTATTTTATCTTGTTTGTTGATGATTTTACAAGATTCACTTGGATTTATTTTCTACAAAATAAAAGTGATGTTTATTCTATTTTTCTCTAATTTGAATCTTATATTCATCGTCAATTTGATTGCATAATTAAGTCATTTCATTTAGACTATGAAGGAGAGTATAAAAAATGGCTTTCATATTTCAAACAAGTTAGCATTGTTCATCGTTTTGCATGCCTATAACTCATGAACATAATGGTATTTTTAAGCATAAAATTAGGTATATTGTTGACACTAGCTTGACTACTTTAGCATATGCTTGTAATTCCATTCAAATTTTGGTCTTATGCTTTTTCGAGCTAGTGTTAATTTAATAAATCTACTCGCCTACTCCAATTGTAAATAACCAAACACCATTTGAATTACTACATGGAAAGAAACCAAAATATCCAGAACTAAAAGTTTTTGGTTGTACATTATATCTTCTTTTACGTCCATATAATCAACATAAATTTTCTTTTTATGCTAAAATTTGTATTTATCCGGCCGATCTCCTCATCATCGTGGTCACTTATGTCTTGATCTCGAAATAGATAGAATATATGTTGGTAGACACATTAAATTTGATGAAAGTAATTTTCTTTTCAAGCACAAGGTTGATATCTCCGTGTCTATCGGGTTTGGACTACAAAGGCACTTTTAGTCGTGTTGTTAAAGCCATAATAATTTGGGTTCTTTTGGCTTTAGCTATAATGTTTCATTGGTGTATGAGGCAATTGAATGTTTTCAATGCTTTACTACATGGACATTTTGATGAACAAATCTTTATAGAGCAACCACAAGGCTTCTTTGATCCTTCTTGTCCAAAATCTATTTGCAAATTAAATCGTTCTCTCTAGGGCTTGAAACAAGCCCCACGAGCTTGGTTTACAAGGCTTAGCCAATTTCTCATCTCTTTGTAGTTTACTCCATCCAAGGCTGGTACTTCTTTATTTATGTTATGAATTGAAGATGTTGTTGTTTTTTCTACTGATTTATGTAGATTACTTAACAATCACTTGGTCTTCTCCTATCTTGATCTTGGAGGTTATTGCTCGCCTTAAACGAGAATTTCCACTTCGCAACTTGGGTACACTTCATTACTTTCTTAGTATAAATGTCTCTACTCAATCCAATGGCATTGTGTTCTATAAAGAGAAATATATTGGTGACCATTTTGCTTGCATTGGTATGGAGGACTCAAATTTCTATTTCACTCCTATGGCGATTTCTCCTACTTTATAAAAAAAAAGTGGCGATCCGCTTAACCATAGTGATCAATATCGATAATTGGTTGGTGCTTTTTAATATATTACCATCACTCGATTAAATATAGCATATATAGTTAATAAACTCTATCAATTCATATATAATTCGATTAATGAGCATTGAAAAACATTGAAGAGATTGCTTTGTTACTTAAAGGGTACTCAAGCCAAGGGTTTGTTCTTTGATTTTACTTCACATCTTGATTTGTAATGTTATGCTAACGAGTTATTGATGAGGTGACTTTGATGATCGGTGATCCATGAGTGGTTATTGTATTTTCTTAGGTTCATCATTGGTTTCATTGATGGCTAAAAAATAGCCTACCACTATGCGCTTTTCTATAGAAAGTGAGTATAAGGCCATTGTGAATGCAACAACATAAGTAATCTGGATTTATTCTCTCCTTACTGAAATTGGCTTTGACATATCTCCATCGATCCTATTGTGTGATAATATTGGTGTCATCTATCTTACATCCAATCTAATGTTTCATGGTAAGACAGAACATGTAGAACTTGGCTATAATTTTGTTAGGAAATAGGTTGCAAATGATGTTCTTACTCTTAGATTTCTTGCCATCAAAGACCAATTGGCTGATATTTTCATTAAGCCCTTATGTATTTCTCATTTCTAGTTTCTAAGAGACAAGTTTCACAAGACAGATGCCAAAGGGCTTGCCGAAGGGAGGGGTGTTAGGACTCGTTAGTATTGATTAGGATTGTTAGTATTGCTCAATCTCTTTTCCTCTTCAAACACTTTGTATTTATCCTATATTATTAAAATTGATACTAGGTGATGACTCGAAATTAATAAATAACTCACATCCCTAAAAAATCATAATTGGATAAATAAATATTAAATAACTTTTTAAGAGTCCTGCAAAAGTCGGATAGTGATAGAATGACATCTCTATTGAGGACTTAGAGTTAGGCCATAGGTTTAGTCTTTTTTTGAAGTTTATCTCCTTTATTTATTTTTAAGTCTTTGAGTTTCAAAATCATTTGTGTAATTCTTGCATATTTCGGATCTTTTAACTTTATGCAATTTATTTTTCTTGCATTCATGTATATATTTATTTTGTGAACTGGGTGA